AGGTGTTATGCCCAGTTCTTAAAAAGTACCGTAGCAAGAATACGGTAGTTTTTCTTGAGCTCATCTTTTATAAAACGTGAGTAAACTAGTCTAGCAATAAGCAAGATTTGTTTAAAGTACAATAGAAAAGAGTACAATAGAAAATTAGCATACTTTAGGTGATAATGGAGGAAGCTTTTGAGCGTTTATGTCCCCCTCTACCATCAACATTTAATCGAAAAGAGAAAGAGGGACAAATGGTGGATGGAGGATCGGTGCTCTTTTCCGGTTTACGATCTCGACGATCCACGTATGGAGTGGAGAAGTTGAGCTCAGGGAATCATGATCTCGAGATTTACAATCATTATGTGCAACGAGCTGGGATTACTGTCGATCCGGAGGTAGTTTGGGTTAAGCGTTTTCCAAAAAAATAGATGGTTGGGGAATTACCGTAATCAAAGCGCCAGTTTTCATTCAATCATTCCATTGGTATCATTCAATTAATATCATTCAATTAATATCATTCAATTAATATCATTCAATTAATATCATTCAATTAATATCATTTCATTGGTATCATTCAATAAGAAATCATTTGGCTCAGTCAATCATATCAAAATTGACCTCTTTGAATGTAAATTAACGGTTTTTATACGATCCACAAAGCAAAAGAGCTTCAAGCATTCAATTTAGGCTTATGAGCTGTGTATCCAACTAGAAATAAAGTAAATCCAGAACTACAATAAATCCAGAACTACAATAAATCCAGAACACAGAAACCAGAACACCCAGACACAACACCAGCACCCAGATACAACACCAGACTATACCAGACTACAATATCCAGAACTACAATAAATCCAGAACTACAATAAATCCAGAACTACAGCACACTAACTACAATATCAAAGGTCCAGCCAAAAAAAAATTTGGGCTCGTCCGGGGATCGAACCCGGGACCTCTCGCACCCAAAGCGAGAATCATACCACTAGACCAACGAGCCATGCGTCGCCTTGGGCTGAAAAGGGGGTCATCTTTTGGATGTTTCATTTTTTTTCAAATCACTGATAAACCGATTTGCCTTCAAAATCTCTAAAATTTTCAGGATTGGCAAAAGTACAAGCCGACTTTGCTCACTAAATTGCAACCACTTTCGGAAGTGCCGATGGTGAGACGAATGACTTCAATATTTATTGCCGATAGTGCTATGCAGGTAATAAAGTAAGGAATGGTAAAGAAAGATTACCGGAGAGGGGATCGAACCCTCGACCATGCTCTAACCACTGAGCTCTAACCAGCTTTGCTGATGCTCTAACCACTGAGCTATTCGATATCTTGTTGCCAGAGAAGAAAGAAGGAATACAAGGGAGAAGGGAAAGGAAGAAAGAGAAGAGAAAGGAAGAAAGAGAAGGCAAACAGGAACAAAATGGGGATTACGGTAAATAGATAGATTGGGTCATAAACCAAAGACAGACAGATTACGGTAGACAAAAATAGATAGCTTAGATTATAAACTAGAAACAGAGTCAAGAAACTAGTCAAGAACTAGTCAAGAACTAGAAACTAGTCAAGAACTAACCAAGAAACTTGTTACAATTTAGAAACCGGACAGGTCATTGAGTGCACCAGAAAGTACAAGATTTGCGCACAAAGTACAAATGATCTATTCAGAGTGAAATCCCGGAGGTATCCCTTTCCTCGATGCGTGTCTACAATCGATCAACAAACCCCCAGCAATGGACCCTTTCACAAAAAGATCAATCTCTATTATCTCCTTATTTACTGTATCCACTAGCCTAGTGAAAGATTTGTATATCTATTTGTATGATTTTGTAAAGATACTATAAAGTTTTGGCTGGCTACAGTAGGCTAAAGTATTCTTGATGTAAACTAAAGATATTGGGCCTTAGTACTTGTTCGGCCTTAAAACTTGTTGCCTTTATTACTGTAATTTGTAGCTCTGTAGCTCTAGGACACTGAAATCCAGATTACTGTAGCTCTGGAATACTATAGCTCTGGGATACTGTAGCTCCAGGTAACTGTAGCTCTAGGAAACTGAAATCCAGATTACTGTAGCTCTGGAATACTATAGTTCGGGATACTGTAGATCTCAAAGCTAAAGATACTATAGCCCTGCGTTCTGGGATACTGTAATCATAAAGCTAAAGATATTCGTCTCATTTTCTATCCAAGATACTTTATTTTATGCTCGGGAACTGAAAGTTTCGGTATACTGTAGCTCGTGGGTACTGTAGTTCCAATATACTGTAGCTTCTGGATACTGTAGCTTCTGGACACCGTAGTTCTAGTATACTGTAGCTTCTGGATACTGTAGCTCGTGGGTACTGTAGTTCCAATATACTGTAGCTCCTGGATACTCTATTTTCATTATACTGTAGTGGTTTAACTTCAAAAAATCCAAGCCTGGGTAAATCTGTGATATTTTTTGTGTCAATTTTTCCTACCAATTGGTCAAGAGAAATTGAAAGTTTAAAGTTCTTATTGTGATGACTTGTCTCATAAACACATTTCTTTTTATCGATTGATTGTTACGGGGCTATTCACCCCTTTCAATGCTTATGCCATGCAATGCAAAAAGAATTTTTTGTCCTTTATGCTCTTTTCTTGATGATTTTCTCTACATAGGGAAAATTATCATAACTCTACTGGCTTTATCTTACAATTATTATGGCAAGTGCTGCGTTTTCTAACGTTTTCTAAAACGTATCAACTTTAGGCTACAGTAAGCTTGTTTTTACTAAATCTATTTACTATTTACTTTTTGATATCTGTATCGTTTGTGAATTCGGAGGATGAATGCAAATATTAAAACTGCCATCGTACTATGAAACTTTAAGCACTATGAAACTTGGCTTTGATACTTTTAGCTTATTGTTAGTTCGCCAGAGAGCTGTAGCTGGATTAGCTGTAGCTGGATTAGCTGTAGCTGGATGAGCTGTAGCTGGATTAGCTGTAGCTGGATTAGCTGTAGCTAGATGAGCTGTAGCTGGATTAGCTGTAGCTGGATTAGCTGTAGCTGCAGCAAGTTATTAAAGCTAGAATAAGTGTTAGCCTATTTGGCGTACTTCTTGATTCGCCTAAAGATGCTTGACGCTTGACGCTACTCCTACAATCAAGCGGTAAGATTATAGTAGGGGCTTGCAGGGTAGATACAACAACGATAGAAAGTGTTACGATAGCAGGTTACAGTGGGATTTATTATTTCTACACCTACCAATGTACTTACAGTAGACATATGCCATCGGGTCGCCAAATAGGGAATAGGGTTTGGTTAAGAATTTTGCAAAATACGTCTACAAAGCAGCTGTAAGTTAGAAATGTGCCATCGGGTCACCAAATGCATTTTAGCAAACGACTTTTGTTTTCTAAAACGTGGATACAATGTGATTGCTTTAGATTTATGCTTTAGAAAATAAAAACCGTTTGCTGAAATGCATTTGGCGACCCGATGGCACATGTCTAACCTACAGCTGTTTGTAGACGTTTGTAGCTTTTGCAAAATTCTTAACCAAACCCTATTCCTCCGGTGAGATCAAAGAGATTAAATAGATACTTTATTCAGGACCTGAGACAAAGTGCGCTCGATTTAAGATTAAATTTAAGATTAAAACACATGAATTCATAGACATAACACGAAAAGGGCCGATAAAAAGCAATACGATATAATATATGTAATATATGGGTAGCACAGATAACGTCAAGGAACCACTCCACTAGAGATCCACTAGAGCTTCAAGATCAAGATCATCTACAGATAATTTAAAGGTTTCGAGACTATTGGGCACTCTCAAAACTCTGGGAAGTCGATTCCCAAAAAACGGCAATGACTCGCCATAACTTTCTTCTAAGTCGACCAATCTTTGGTCGACTCGACATCGATCGACGTCGACCAGTCGACCAATTTTGGTTTCATTTTGTAGATCTCAATAAGTGCAACAAAATGAAACCAAAATCATAAAGATTGGTCGACTTAGAAGAAAGTTATGGCGAGTTGAGCAAAAAAAAAAAATTGCGGAAATTAGCCTACCCCGTTTTGTGTTTAATTTTTTTAAACCAATTGAAATACTGATAAAGATATTCAGTTATTGTCTTGTTGTATTTCCAAGATTTCTTCTATAAAACTTCTCTTTTCTTTAAAGCCAGCTTTTCTTCAATTTTTATTTTTATTCAGCTACTTGGTATATTTACTGCAGTTAAACCAGTTTTCTACTCATTTGCGTGGTTTCCGTTGAAAAGTTTACAGAGAAGTGGCTGTTTTGATAAAAGGTGAGCGTTTAATGCCATCGGGTCGCCAAATGCTTTTGTTTTTTAACAAACAAAAGCATTTGGCGACCCGACGGCTTTTGTTTTCTAGTATCAAATAGACTTGTTTATCGATTCAAACGGCAAGCTCATCTTAGAGCGTTCAGATCTCGGTTTCTAGAACATATTAGATATGCAAGTTGTTTCATTGGAAAGCCAAGAATGTCAGCTTTTGATTGCTATCTCACACATAGCAAATTCTCATAGGTGAGTGCCTTAAAAAGCTTAACAATACTTATCGATACGCAAATATCGAGAAGCTTATCGATAATCGATCCTTTCGATATCGAGAAGCTTATCGATAATTGATCCTTTCGATATCGATAAGGTTTATGGTGTGTTTACTTATTAAAGGTCGCTATGTATAAAAGAGCAATCAAAAGCTGACATTCTTGGCCTTCCAATGAAAGAATTTGCAGATTGATAGCTGTTCTAGAAACTGAGCTCTGAACGGTCAAATATGAGCATGTCATTTGTATCGATAATATCAATAAGCAAGTCTAGTATCAAACTTATGCTGAAAATTTTCACGAAACTTAAGAACGGGAGAAAATTTTTGGAAACAATTATTTCTTCAGCTTTGCATTGAAGTTCTTTCATTTAAACAGCGATTTGCATAGAGTTTCTAGCTAGTGTTTTCTCTTGACTTCAATTTTTATTTATTTACGCTTCAGACGTCCGCCAAATCGAACGCTTTGATGAAGGTCGGAATCTACATAGGATCGACCGAAGAAGATGAGGTTTTCTACAACGGGAAGTTGCACAGCGCCACTCGTGCCAACAACCTTCCCAAGCCTCCTCTCTCGGGGAACTGGGTGAAAATAACTGCTTCGGCTACGGACACTTGGTAAGTTTCTTGTTATAAAGGCTTTAGTTGTAGCTGTTTAAAATTATTTGTTTTAGATATGGGCAGCAAGTCACTTCTTACGTTTTAGGAATCAGCTTTAGGAAAAGTTTTAGGAAGCTGCTTGAGGAAAAGTATTAGGAAGCTTTTATATCCTAAAATGTGAACTTCTGTCTGTATTCACGCTTTAGAAAACAAAAACTATTGCTAAAACGCAAAAAGTGACTCGTTGCTCATGTCTAACGCGGTTTAGCTTTCGAACTTTTAACGATCATTCCTTTTTCACGTTAGTTTTATCAGCGGATAGCGTACCTTGTACAGATGACAAAATAAGCATTGATCTGGCTAATTTATATTATTTAGCGGGCTACTGGTGTTCACTATCACTGACATCATGAACGAAACAGATACCCTGCCGCTGGTCACGCGAAATTTAAAAGGACTTCTTAAAGTATCGTGTTTTTACTTATGTTTTTCATTCTCAGCTTTAGACGAAAGATTCAATAATCGTGCTTCCTTCATCAACCATTTGGTCGCGACACTTTGGTCAAGTCGGGGATAAGATGAAAGCTGCAGCAACCCTGCAAAAGGATCAATCTTATACAGCTTCTTTAACTTGGTTATTTTCTTTTTTAACTAGCTTTGCAAATCTAGTTGCGACAAGAAAAGATTTTCGTTACTAAGCGTTGTGAATCATTATCGATTAAAGGCTTTTATTTTCAGGAACAAGGAGAAGAAGCTTTTTGAATTACTGAAGTCTTCTGATGCCCAGTTGGACGCGCAAAATGCTATCTTCAAAAAGGTATAATGATTGAATTTGGCTAGCAATCAATCTAGCAATGTAAGCTCTGAAGTATTTGGCAGCCTTTACGTTTATTTTGTACAGTGCGGATTGATGCTCTTTTTAATTATTCGATCATTTTCTAATCACGATGTTTAGTATGAAGCCGAAAACTTGGTGGGAGCTCGTGCAACAGTCTGCAGTATTCAACAGCCTGCGGTGACGCCAGTTGAGGTATCTATTTTGGCTCACTGACGTGTTGCGATACCACACGTTGCGGTAACTAAGCTCGTCTCCGCTCTCCGCAAAGTAACACTATTACTCCGTTCTCTTCTCGAACCTCCGCCCCTCCCCTCAAATTTCCTCGCATAAGCATTCTGTTGTTGACCGCCTATTTTGACGATGCCTATTATTTACTCTTTCAAGCCCACAGGAAATTCTTATCAGTTTTAGTCATGCAATCTATTTTGGTAAATGGTTAAACTAAATTCAAAATTTCCTTTTGGTTTGGGGACTAAAAAGTATAAGCCCGCTTTAGCAAAAGTTCTTATTAAGAATGAAACGCTAGTAAAATTTATTATGTTATTTTTTTAGGTAAAAAACAAGGAGATTAACATCATGGTAGAGGAGGACGAATGGGTGACTGGAGTGGTTGTGAAGCATTCGGTCACGGGACGGGATTTGGTTATGTACAACGAAAAGGTAATGGGTTTTATGTTCAACGCTTGGTTTAAAAGTGTTTCAGTATGGTGGAGTCATCGTCAAGTACCAGCAACACACCGTGATTACCATCAATCAAGAAGCTATACGACCAACAGCGGGAATGCTAGCGAGATTTACGCTTAAGTATCTTGTTTGGGATTTTTAATGAAAGATAAACGCTTTTCTAACCCTTAATGAGCCTAACAAGTTTCTTTAGGAAGGGCCGCTTTGAGTTTGAGCCAGAACCGCGAAAAGTCGAAATGTACCAGTACCAGGCTGAAAAAGTCGACTACTTGGCAAAAGACAAGCTACAGAAGGTTGTTGATCACCAAAACAGACGGACGAATCACAAAAACGCGTGCACATTATTGGTAATGGGTCCAAATTGTTTCGATTAACTATTTGTGTTCAGGTGGACGCGATGGCTCGTTATGACGGGGTACATTTTGTGGTCTACACGAAGGGACCACCAAAGGAGCGCTTGTTGACCGCAATCGATCCCCACAGATGTGTTCAAGTTGATTCAAATTGACTTGTTATCAAATTTATGCGTTCAGGAACCCGATCGTCGCACGGAGTACATCCTCCGATTGGCATGTTTCTATCGGGATGGGACTCTTATGTGGAAAGTGATCAGTATGCTTAAGATTCTGTCACGTGAGTGTTCATGCTGTCACTTATTCTATTAGGGTGATCTTCATAGCGAAAATGAGTGTGCCAATCCAATCGGGCAGTGCTTTTTCAATCGCAATTCTTATAGGATTAGTTTCCGTGTGCATATTCAACGCTTCGGCTTGTCTCACCAACGCCTCCATATAATCAACAAGACACACAGCATCACGGTATTCTTCGCCGGGTCTGATGGCTACAAATCTTTTGGAGAAGGCCATTTTTAAGTAAAAAAATCAGCACCAAAATGTGCGATCAATCTAGATTTTACCGGCACATAGTTTTGCTCGATAGTCTTGAAGCCTCTCACAGCTCTGGCGGCTTCACCTGTGAGAATTTCAAATAGACAACTCAACTTGAGTACATCGGGATAGTCTGGTGCACCGACTGTTTGCATGAATCACCGAAAGTCCCCGTCACGGATCCCCGTCAAAAGTTGGTACAGGGATTTTTGGCAAAACAAATGGTTGATTGAGTTGACCCTATTGATTTGTGAAATTTGAGCATTTTGTCATGGTGATTGCACAAGGAAAGAATGGCTTGTGATGGTGCTTGAACTCGATGTTGAGGTACCGACCGTATCGAACATTTGAGAAAACTGACGACGTATTTATGGTAGAGATTGGGAAAATCGACGATGAACCAACAGTGGATGTTGTCATACCGTAGGACTGGTCCGAAATTGCCAAAAAGGGAGTAATTAGCAGGAATTAATGAAATCAAACACCCGGAACGAAGATCCGTCGGCGCACACCAAAATTGTATTGACTTGTTTATGGATGTTATTTGAATCAATACGGTGGTTGATTCAGTGGTTTATTGCAGACTACGTAATCAATGAATCACATCTTAGATCAAATATGAGAGAATCTAGAGAAAACGAGATACAAAATATAAAATTATTTTGAAGTCTCAATTCTAATCACTAAAGCTTTTAGAAATAGAAAACCACATATTTCTGCACAAAGTACGTTTTGTTATTTGGAATCAAAATCCGGTAATTATTGCGGTCTTGTCAAGATCGCTGGAGAAGCAGTGTAATACTTTTGACGGTTTGGCGGCCGCTTTTGATTTTCCTGATCTAATGCTACCGACCATTTTCCCGCCCTCAAACTAACACAACAACATTTAAAATTTAGAAAACGCGGCTTTATTGGAACGAGTAATTGAATTTGTCGCTGAGGTTCGCGAAGAACCCGCTAAAAGGTTCGATCACTGTTGATTGATCAGATTCAATGTGATTTTAGCGGCCAAATGGAAGCAAGAGCCAATCTCCGATCATCACTTCAAGAAATTGGATTGAATGCTCCAATGGCTCTGTCGCAACGTTTTGCGTAAGTTTTTGAGAATCTTTTTTGGTTTAACTAAAAGTCAAAATGTTTATTTATATATTTAGTGGACCAAACATCGAAATCCAACGACCCACACAAGCCACAAAAGTGACCGAGGAAAGGAGAAGCTTATCTAATGAGCAACGGTCTGTTTTTTTATACATTCAGCGCAACTAATCGTTTTTATCTACTGCACCTTAATAGTTTGTGGGCAAAGCAATATTAAGCGTTTCTAACATAACATAGTTGTACGGCTCTTCATTGCCATTGGCAAAACGGCAATTACGTCCGAATATAATCACAATTACGCCAGCATACGAGAGCCTGTTTATAAGTAACGTTTTTCCAAATGGCTAAATTGTTGTTTTTTCGTATAATATTGATTTATTTAGTCGACCCGTGATCTTATCATCGCATCTCATCAGCTCCACTCCAAATGAAAATTCTCCGGGCTATGTGAAGGCCCGCGGCTCTGGAGAATCCTCTTCCATATCATTGGACGGCGATGAGTTCGTTTTATAAATTTCAATATTTTAAAAATTTGTATAGAATCTAAACTCTAAAAATTGTTTTTAAGAGCTAACACAGAAATTAATTTTTTACGAAATTGATTTGGAAATTTTAGGGGCGTTGAAATTCTCAAGCCGGCCTATGTAAGCGAGAAATGGAAGCATCATAAAAGTGAGGAAGGATGGGTTGGTTGCTTTTGTTAATCTAATTACTTGAGCAAATTAATAAATTGTTTTAGCATTATGGCTGGTGCTACATCTTCTACGATCGAGACAATAAGCAAGAGCAACTAAAAGTGGTTTCAACGTCTAATCAGCGCTTCATGGCCAGCTATTCTATCCGCGAGAAGTTTGTTCTTTGAGGTTTTCTTTATCTAAAATTTTTAGGAACAAGGTGATGGGGCATTGGATCGAGTTTAAAGAAAGGGATCGATTCGCCGAGCAAATGACGGTGTTGGAAAGAAAAGATTTCCCAAAATGCCGACTTATGCTGAAACGTACAGAGGTGAGTGGTATAAGCGCTAAAGACGTAGTACTTTTTATCAAGCTTAACTTTTCATTTTCCAGATAGAGTTAGAGCTCACCTATAGAGATAGAGGCGACGGAAAAAAGCATCTGTTCAAAAATGATCTGGTAGGTTGTTTGTTTCGTTTTGCTACTTCTTTATTTCGTTTAGATTGGTGATGTAATTCTTCCGGATTTCGGAGGGAAGTACACGGACGGCGCGACTTATTTGCTTTGGTTTCTAGTCGATGCCAAAATGTATCCCGCGCGAAGCGAGTTCCCTCGCATCAAAAATGTGGTACATTTTTAAATGATGACTACAGCTCTAATAAATTACTTGCACTGAAAGTTCTTTTAGATGACCGACTGCCAGTGGGGAACGGGCGAATATTCTGATTCGGAAGACACGAGCGAATATTCCGATTCGGAAGACACGAGCGATGAGATAGTCGAGGAAGAAAGCGAGGTGCGTCTACCGGTCATTCTTGACGACAATGGCGCCACAGTGAAGGAGTGCCGTCCAACGATCCCGATCAGTGAAGGGAAACCGATGGTCCTTCCTAATTCGACTCGAAATCCACTTCTTCATCCACCACCACTCGCATACCGTGAGCTCGTCTCGCGGATCATGCGCATTCCTGAGGCGATAGACATCATCGAGAGAATGGCGACCGCTCGATGAACAAGTTATATTCTTGCTGAATTGTGCACTTGAAAATATTTTTCGTGTTTCTTAACACTATAAATCTAGTTATGTACTGTGATTGGTCCCCAATCCACTTGTTTTTTTGGTGTTGTAGTACCGGTTGCTTTCTTTGCTTACTGTATATAATTGTCTGTATTACTGTATATAATTTCTTGAGGTGCTGCCAATTTTATCAAATCAAAAATGTTAAAAACAGAAAAAAATGCAACGATTTTTTATTCGCTCAATTACGTGTGAGAAGTGAATAAATAATTCGTCGCAAATTTGTGAGCAATATTACAAATGAAGGAGCAAAGACACTAATTTTAAACTACTAACTTTGAAACAATTTTAAGAATTATACGCCGAAAGAATCTGTTTGGAAAAAAAAGCGCTCAAAGGAGATGTAATGGATTTCGGTTCGGTATTTAGCGTAGACTACTAGATAAATAAAACGAAAGACATTTGGGTTAAATGTTTGTAAGTTTTTAAAGTTACCAAGCATTTTTCAAGTTTTCGGCTTTTATCCACTTTACTAAATTAATAGCACCTAAAAATCTTTATTCCGTAAGATAAAATTAATCCCTTTTTCATTCCAAGTAGTCATGTAGTTGCGGCTAGAAGAGGTCGAAAAACGTGAGAATCGCCGAACGTTTGCCTTTGACCTTCTTTTCCACCTAAATAAAGTGATAGATGAAATAAAATAAAATGCATACGTGTGTAAGATTTAAAAGTTTAAGCGTCTATAAATACGGTAGACCAAAAACCTTTTTCAATTTTCTTCCCTCGGGTACATCGGTTCCAATGTCGTATTCGGTGTTCTTTGTCCAGCGAATCACGCCCATTCGATCACTTCTCGGCTGTCGGTCTACTAAAAGATACAAAATTAATAGGTTACTTGAAAACTTATGAAACCTTAGAGCGTAAAAAGTTCAAACTTTTGAATGCCTTTAAAACTTACATTCTTTGACTCGTGATCTCGAGGCTTTCAACCGAGAGCGCCCTCCTGATGCTGAGAAGGAACAATTTCAAGTTTCACAAAGGTGTCTTACAAATAATCTTTGGCCCAAGTGGCTTGTTGGTCATCGCATTCTTTCTAAACGTGAAATGGAACTTTCGATAGAACAAAATGCAATACAAACCCGCTGTTATTTTCATTGGAACGACTACGACGCGCCGGCCTAAAGAAACAGTTGTAATTAGAGAGATTAGAGATGTAAACAGAAGGTGACAGATGACATTAATCGAAGAGCAAGCAATAACCGAGAAAAAAATCTACCTGCCCACTGCCTCGGTAGATCGAATGCGAGGCAGAACGGGTCCTGCCATGGTCGAAGTAGCCGAAGGCGTTGGCGTCAGTGGGCGGACTTGCAGGATCGATTTGGGTTTCTTGTTCCGCAACTCCTAAAACAAAGATCTACTATATAAAAGAGCAGTGTCTGCCCGTCCGTCCGTCTGTACGGGCTTTTTTTTGTAAAATGTAAAATTCTTTTCTTTTGTAAAATGTGGGGGAACTTTTTGATCACCCCGTAAATATAGTTGTGCTATTTAAAATAAAAAATTTTAAAAGCCAAGATTGATTGGCAGTAAGGGAGTCGAGCCCGGGTCGCGTGGGCCGTAGACAAGCGCGCTCCCGACTGCGCCACAGCGACAAAAGCTATGTGTCAGCCCCAAAACATCCAGCCAAAAACATTTCGACTGGTATTAGAAAAATCAAGGCATTTTGTAAGAAATTAAGTAGAAATAAAGTAATCTACATTTTTGTGATGTTTTGCTGCGGCGGCTCCAATTAAAACGGCATCGGGAGCCATGTGCATTTGCTCAAACATAATGGGGAACTAAAAGCAATACATAGATATTGGTATACCCAATTCGAAACCAACCAAAGACGCAATAAGTGCATTGATGGTGTCGAGCGCATCCGGGGAACACGGTCTCTCAACCACCGTCGTGAATGAACCATGACTAAAATTAAACATATTACCTTCTTCGAAACAGAACCAACTCTTTATATCGAGCCCAATATTGATAGATGAAGTCCTGATTGTTGAAGGGAACGGGATTTCCGTTTAAATCCAACAACGCATCACCGACGGCCAACCACTTCGACGCGTAGCTGTCGTTTTGAATCTAAATTTGAAAATTTGCGGCCAAACAACGTGGAAAAGAGCTCACCTTGCCTAAAATGACCTTGTTGTTGATCACACGGCCCAACATACCCATATTCGGACCTTTCACTGTTTCGCTTTGGCGATGCACTAAAATTGCAATCAGTAAGAGGGTTAAAATCAAACTTTCAACCGGTAAGAAGAGCATATGTGAATCCAAATGAGGGATTAAGTCGAAGAGCCTCCATTCGAGCTGCGGGCACTGGCGAGAAGCCATGACGCCGAAAAACTGTCACACTCACCTGAAAAAAAGCATATTATCAGTGCTACATTCCAAAAATACACCTTTCCATCTTGATGTAATATCTTCAACATCTCTACGACCGCCAATCCCTTCTTGTCATTCAGTGCGACTATCTAAACAAATTCAATGAACTAGTAAAATCTTCGCTCAATTAACCCGATCCCCGACGATTAACTTTGAAATGGCAAAATTAGCGTCTCCGTTCAAGAACAAAATCTAAACCAACAAATAAAATAAAACCGACAAACAGTACTTCACCTCTTTATAGTTCCCGATTTCCAAGTAGTCGCCAAGTTCACCCTGAAACAAAGGAAAATGTAAAAATAAAGTTAAGCAAGTAGATAAACACAGGTACTAATAAACTTCGTGGGGGGGGCATTGGCCCAACTTGATCAGGTCCTATTCTAGGCGTGTTTTTTCTAGTCTTGTTTTGCATTTTCTGGGGTAATCAAATACGCTTAATCGATTGACGATATTTTTAGAATATTTTGAACCAGTTACCACTTTGTATTTTGTCCCTCTCTTCATTTTCAAGCTTAGCAACACTGCCATGGAAAAACTCGAGCTAGCTTATCAAAATATCAATAAAAATTGTTCAAAACTTTCTAAAAATAGTATCAATAGATTCATCATGTTTGATTACCCGAGAAAAAGTCAAATAACTTTGGTAAAACAGTCAAAAGATACAATCTGACCAAGTCGATTTTATCAGTACCTAAACTTAAGTTTGCCTAGATAGAGTTCTAAAATAACGTAAAAGTTTACCTACCTGATCCCAGTTTGGCACTATCATTTCGACATTCACGTTCTCGTGTGGCACATCGGGGAACATGCGAGCAGTGAATTCGGCGGGTACCTGCAAGATGTAACGTCAACTCAGCACAAACACTGAACAAGTTGACACACAGTCGAAATATACGTTTGATTTTTGCACAAAGCAAATGTAAGGTCCATAAGAATGTTGAAGTACCCAAGAAAACCAACCACATGAGGTTTCTCGGCGTTGCCGTTTGATGACACACGAGTAGCTGGCAACAATCCGTTTTTTCCCGATCCATCGCTACTAAACAAAAAGATTGAGTGAGCATCGGTAACGTTTAAAACTTGTTGACAACAACATTGTAAAGTTTTCAAAATGCAAACATACCAAACAGACTTTGAAGATTTGCGAACAAGGTTCATGATGAAAAAGTGATTGAAATTTAAAAATGAAGAAGTAGAATTGAATGAAATTGTGCTTCATTTGGTGTGGTTATATTCGGCGTTTAATACAATATTTAATGTAAATTTAACCTCTCATGCAAATTTGGATCCCCTGCCAGTAAATTAACTTGCACCCACACTTCCCTCGCTTTCACAACCGGTTTCAAATGTTTATTTTAGCATAAAAAATTCAACAAAAACATCAAAATATTACAAAACCTTTAAAAAATTATTATAAAGCATAGATCACAGGACTGATTTACGCGTTCGCTTGAGATCGGGCGTTGAACTTGACGGGGTAATCGTTCCTGGCGGCGGTGGAGCTTTTCGTTTTCGCGGCTGAAACAATAAACTAAAAATTTAAAAAAGGAAATTACTCTTACATTATTGAGAGCATCCGTTTTGCTGAGCAATTCGAGATAACTTGAGATACGACGGCTGCTCGTGGGCGCCCCTGGACCCTCCAAGAAAGCCGATGAAAGGCCACCTTCCGGAAGAATTGACACACGCATACGGGGCTCGATTTCGAATGGCTAAAATGAAATTGTATTTTGCAGCATTTAGAAAAAATATACGTCAATCAATTCGTTTTGAATTTTATTTTTATAGTTCAACTAGCTGTTATTGTAAAAACGTACCTGTCCGCCTTGTTGCTGATATCTTGTACGAAGGCTTTCCAAATCGAATTCAGCCGTTTGTAGAGTCGCTTTGAGTTCCTAAGCCAAAAATAAAAATGGAAAAAAATCACCGAACAAACCTGCAAAAGCACAATATCGGATCGGAAATCATTATACGCTGTCACAATATCTTCGGCGCCCATTGGATTCATTTCTAAAACAAAGAAAATTCTTATCAGAATAAAAAATACACATACCCAATTTCATCTTGTCAATCACCGTTTCGATATTCTTCAACTTTTTCAGCCCGATATTAGTTGGCAATTTCATCTCCTGGCTTCGAAGATGAGCACCAGAACCCCGGAATTCACTGAAGCGAAGCTGTGTGACGGAAACTTCCTGAAATTAATTTTTGTTTAAAAATTAGAAAGATCACACTGACCGGATTAAAGCTAGATGACATGGAGGCGCTCGATGATAAACCAAGCTTTTGACGAATTTGTCCTTTCTTGAGGGAAGTTGATGCAGCACTTCTACAAAAGTTCCCCAGGAAGTGCAATTGAAATTCTAAAAACGAACCCTGAGGGGCTTGCAGGAGACATATCCGTCATGCTGATCAACTTTTGTAAATCCTGAGCCTTGCGTTCTCGTTCTCTTTTTCGTACTTCAATTCGTTCGAGCTCAGCAATCAGTTGTTCCTCTTCTTCCCACTAAAATTTCGAAACTTTAAAGTACTACCAGATTAATAATAACCTCTTCTGGTGTCCGATCCCATAACTTTGTCAATTGTTCTTTTCTTTTCCGTTCGTGTTCGGCATCGTAACCCATTGGCTCATAAGCTGATTCTCGTTGCTGCAAAAGTGTTCAACTTTTTTAAAGCTCTAAAACCAACCATAGACAATTCAAAAACGACAGCATAATAGCGTTCTTTCAAATCCTCCATCGATCTTCTTTGCCCAAATTTTGTTTGATCGTAACGGTCGTATACAATGGGCCATCTAATTTTAAAAAGTGCATGATTGTAAAAGAAATCCCTACCTCAAATCAAATTGTTGGCAAACTTCGAACAAGTAACGGGTTTCTTCTTTTGTCCAATCGGCCATCCGCAAATGCTCCTCATATTCATCATCGTTAAAAGATGGGACTTCAAATTTCTTAAAACCAGACATTATAAGTCAGTAAAATAACCAAACAAACCTTATTAAACTTGGCGAAAACGTATGGTTGTGAAGGATTTATCCGATCTTCTCTCATCCAATGGGAAAGCTTCAATCCATCTTCACGTGCTTGATTGTCGAATGGAGTCCAGAGCCATCGTCTAGCCGGCCGTTTTCCCATCTAAAAATTATACAATTTTGTCAAGTTTCAACTCGTTATGCCTCGAGAGTAAGCGATTGACTTTATGCATTTGCAATTTTAAAATGTTCTAACCTAAAGCAATGAACACAAAGCTCTGCCAATGTTTAGCCGATTTCCGATGATTATTATCATAATATCTACCTGTAACTTGGCCAATCGAACGCCATCTTTTGTGCGTGACGATATGATTGCATCCAATTTAAGTTTTCCTGCGTTGGTAGCCGTCAGAAGATTGTAGAGCTCTCTTTGCATTCCTTCTGGACGTGGTAGTTGAAATTCGGATCTTCGCTGCTAAAGTAAAACAAATTACAAGAGTTTTTCGATTTGTGCTTTGTCTTAATCAAATTTCAATTTCTAATCTTAGAAATTCATGTATTAGGTTGGCAAACAAGTCTTTTGGCGATTAAAGAAATAAAAGGCCTTTAGACTTGAAATACAGTAAGCATAATGATAAAAATTCACTTGAAATTTGAAAAAATACATGATGTTTTGATAAATTTCGAGTCAAAAGAACGTGAACTCGGAAAGCGTCAAATTTGACTCGTTACTGAAGCTCAAACACTTCTTCCATCAAAGCTTGTCAAAATAAAAAGTTGCACCGCTGTTTTTAGTTTAGGATATTGATCTCTAATTTTAACCATACAAACGTTTGGTAGTTGCCTTGGTTTGGGGTGGAAAAAATTTGGGTGGAGCGCAAGACTTTCTTGCCAACCTAATAGATAGCACACAGAATTATCATCAAATTTGAAAATTGCCTGGCTCTTTAAATTTTGTTAAAATTTAGCGTAGAAAAAGAAAATACATAACTAGCAATAGGTGCTATAGTAGTTGGGGGAAGCAGTTTGTAAACATCGGTTTTCTCGAACTTTCCACTAGTTTTAAAAACTTTTTATGGAGTAATTAATTGCACTGAATCCATTCAAGGATTTATAAACAATTCTGAACAACTCTTATGCCAGTTTGAACAGCAATTTCAAGCCTTCAAGAGCGGCTCTATTTCAACTGGGTTTAGAGGTGCGGAACCGAATTAAGAGGCTTAAAACCTAGGTAACTGCTTAAAATAGCTAGAAAACAGTTACTAAAGCTTAAATACATACCAAATTAAGAATCTACGCCATTAAAAACCCTAGAAGCAATAATTAGTGCCCTCTGGGTCAATAGAGATGAATGTACACTGCCGCCCCCCACTTACTAAAGCACCTAGCAATATTTGAGCTTTAAATGTTTAAAAAACTAACTTTTGTGGCATCTCCTTTCTTCTCGCGTTGTTCACCACCGTCCGATTTGATGATTGACTTGGCATCAATCATTTTTGTGGTTTCTAAAAGTGAAACATTAAAAGTTCATTGAAAACACAGAAAAAAAAGCAAACAAATCAAAGAAAATTTCCTCAATTTGTAAAAGATTTGCCTTTGATAAAGATATTCAATTAATAAATTGAAGTTCAATGTATTGGGTAAAAATCATGGATTTAAACTTTGTGGCTTCATTTAGATTTTATGGAATAAAATAAAAATTGGGGGTGGGCTAATTTCCGCAATTTTTTTTGCGCAACTCGCCATAACTTTCTTCTAAATCGACCAATCTTTATGATTTTTGTTTCATTTTATTGCACTTATTGAGATCTACAAAATGAAACCAAAATCATAAAGATTGATCGACTTAGAAGAAAGTTATGGCGAGTCATTGCCGTTTTTTGGTAATCGACTCCCCAGAGTTTTGAGAGAGTCCAATAGTCTCGAAACCTTTAAATTATCTGTAGATGATCTTGATCTTGAAGCTCTAGTGGATCTCTAGTGGAGTGGATCATTGACGTTATCTGTGCTACCCATATATCACATATTATATCGTATTGTTTTTTATCCGCCCTTTTCATGTTATGTGTATGAATTCATGTGTTTTAATCTTAAATTTAATCTTAAATCTAGCGCACTTTGTCTCCGGTTCTGAATAAAGTATCTATATAATCTCTTGGTAGAAAACTGGTGTAACTGCAGTAAATTTACCAAGTAGCTGAATAAAACCGATGAAAAATTGAAGAAAAGCTGGCTTTAAAGAAAAGAAAACTTTTATAGAAGAAATCTAGATACAACAAAACAATAACTGAGTATCTTTATCAGTATTTCATTTGCTTTTTTCTAGCAAAAATTAAACACAAAACGGGGTAGGCTAATTGCCGCAATTTTTTTTTTGCGCAACTCGCCATAACTTTCTTCTAAGTCGGTCAATCTTTATGATTTTGGTTTAATTTTGTAGATCTCAATAAGTGCAATAAAATGAAACCAAAATCATAAAGATTGGTCGACTTAGAAGAAAGTTATGGCAAGTTGCGCAAACGACCTAGTTGCGCAAATGACCCTATTGCGCAAAAAAAACTAGCCTACCCCTTTTATGGAATAAAATAAAAGTTAATTTTCACACAGGCTTAGAGAAGTTCTTTTGTTGTGTGAAAACTTGAGAGAACCTAGATTTTGAACGAGTGAAGATTTTTAAGTCATAATTAGCAACACAACCAAACAATTGACGTTCAACCAAAAAGGCATTTATTTGGCGAAAAGCCAAGAAATAAGAGTCCCACTTCGATGGTCGATACCATACCCGATTGCCAAGAGAACATTTTTAGAAGCCACCTTTTTCTTATTCTTGTTTTCTTCAAGTTTTCTACCGTTTTACTCTATTTTTTAATCACTTTTCATTGTAAAAAATAATCTAAATTTTAGCCAAACCTGGATATTGAGCACAGAAAGAGAATAAAAAGATAGCAGTACTTGAAACTTCTCCGAAAAAGCTCAACTTAACTCTCAAAATGGTGAGTCGATGAGATTTTTTTACCTTTTATGAATAATTATCGAATAAACAATGAAACTGGTGATAAATAAAGCCAATTGAGCTGTTTCTACAGGAAACTATTACTGTAAAAGATTCTTCATGTAAAAAGTTAGTTAAATAAGTCAACCTTTAACTGTCACTGGTCTTGAATTTGATTGTTTTTGATATTTTGGAATGGAAAGATCAATTTGAATTATTTAAAACTGCTTCTAGTTTTCAATTTTCGTCAAAACTATGGGTTTGGCTTTTGTAATTTGATCTATTTAGACTAAACTAAATTCTATTTAGACTATAACCCAATCCTTAGTTGAATACCTAGATAAATGTCTTATTTTATATATCTAATGATAAATGTCTTAAACCAATCAATTTTCTAGGCCGGTGTTCCTTACAAAACTGACAAGCCTCTCGCTGATGCCACCGAGCATCGCATCCGCATTACTCTCACCTCGCAAAACGTGGTCGCACTCGAGAAAGGTTTGTACTAGATATGGGCCTCGAATCAAATCACCGATTCGATTCGATTCGACTTTAATAATCGAATGAATTTGATTTGATTCGATTATTAAAGACGATTTAGAAAACTTGAATCGGTTCGATTCGACCAAAAACTATTCGATGCCCATTTACATCAAAACTTATTATTGAAAAGATCTTGGATCTGCTTATCCGCCAAAGTTAGTGCAAAATAGAAAAATGGATTACGGCAGAAAATAACTACAAATACTGTAAAAACTCTAATAGAGCGCCTCCCTCATAATTGATGGGGTATTGCCGCGTAGTTACGCCATAGTAACGGGCGTACAGTCGCGTAGTCTAACTTTGAACGTCCGATTCTCTGCGCTGCTTTATGCTACAGTGTGCTACATGGGATCAAATGATAGCCCTTGAAATCCAGTATTTTTTAGTACCAAAAGTGGAACTGGGGAAAATCTAGAAGCTGGGAAATACCATAAATACTCTAATAGAGCGCCTCCCTCATAATTGATGGGGTATTGCCGCGTAGTCTGACTTTACACTCTTCGTTTTCCGCGCTGCTTTATGCTATAGTGTGCTACATAATATCAAATGATAGCCCTTGAAATCTAGTATTTTTTAGTACCAAAAGTGGAATTGGGGAAAATCTAGAAGCTGAGGAAAAAAAACGATATTCTAAAAAGAAGTTAGACTACGCGACTGTACGAGGGGTAGTGGCGTTCTATGATTTACGCAGTTCAATTAGAGTATTTACGGTAGTTCAATTTATCTGTGATTCCTATTTGGCACTAATTTGGCAGAAAGTAAGTTTGGATATTGAAACAAGATATTGAATTCGAAAGTACACAATAACTGGTTTGACACTGTCATACAATTTATTGAAAACTCTAAAATCTGAATTTACTATAAGAAATGATTACATTAGACATGGATTTTGGGGAAAACGAATCAGTTCCACGTTTTAGCAAATAGCTCTTGTTTTCTTGCATTGCTTGCTGCTATTTTGATAGCATTGCTATTTTGCTAGCATTGCTATTCTAGAAAACACGAGCTGTTTGCTAAAACGTGGGACTGACTCGTTTTCTACAAAAACCCCATGTATACTTTAAACTCAAATTCACCAATTCACCAAAACAAAACAAGACCAGAGACATTTTTCATATCATTTCAGTGTGCGCTCAACTCATCAAGGGTGCCAAGGACAAGGAGGTATGTCATTGTTTTATTTCTTTTCATTCATTTATTTTTTTTGCTGAATATCTTGTAAATTGTATAGATATTTAATTAAATAGATATTTAATTAAATAGATATTCAATTCAATAGATATTTAATTCAATAGATATTTAATTCAATAGATATTTAATTCAATAGATATTCAATTAAATAGATATTCAATTAAATAGATATTTCAATTAAATAGATATTCAATTCAATAGATATTTAATTAAATAGATATTCAATTAAATAGATATTCAATTCAATAGATATTTAATTAAATAGATATTCAATTAAATAGATATTCAATTCAATAGATATTCAATTAAATAGATATTCAATTCAATAGATATTCATAATGATATTCAGTCAATTTTTTAAAATCAATCTTTTAAAATAAATCTTTTTCTAGCTCATCGTGAAGGGCCCCATCTACATGCCGACCAAGACTCTCCGTATTACCACCCGTAAAACCCCTTGCGGAGAAGGCTCAAAGACTTGGGATCGTTATCAGGTTTGTGAAAAAAACAAACTGGAAATTTATTATACTACAAGCTGAAGCTTGGAAATTTATTATATTATACTTTATGCCCAAAATCTGTAAACACATCCTATCTGGCGCACTCAATTCACCCTTTTTCTCGCAGTAACGGCTTGTTGTCGCAAGAAAAGTGAAGAATCGAGTGCATCAAAAAGGGTGTGTTTACAAATTAGAGCACAAAATACACTCCGCAAATCACTTACAGTGAGCCAAAAATGTTTTGAGTTTAAGATACAAATAAATGACGGTATACAGAATTATGAGTGCCATGTATGGCCTTAAAACGTGACCCATGATCCCACTTCTATAGAATACACTGGAAACAGTAATCAGTAATCAGTACGGTAGTCATTCTTTGTCCCCAGTGCACCAGAAACTATGCGTTTCACTTTTTGAGCTCAACGCATAGCTCGGGGGAAACGTTAACTACGGGATTTCATGGAAAATATCTCAAGATTGATTCTAAAGGATGTCAATTTTCTGTAAACTATTGTAATCCCGTCTCTAGCTTTTAACAAATCGACCATTTTCTAATCCTGTTCTGATCCTGTTCACGAAATATATTTAAAGATTGAAAGATAAAAAAGTAGATAGATAGATAGAGTAGATAGAGTAGATAGAGACAAAGTAGATAGAGACAAGGCAAGATTACTGTAGTCGAGAAAGGAGACAAGATTACGACAAGACAAGATTACTGTAGTCGAGAAAGGAGGCAATATTGCGACAAGACAAGATTACTGTAGTCGAGGAAGGAGACAAGATTACGACAAGACAAGATTACTGTAGTCGAGGAAGGAGACAAGATTACGACAAGACAAGATTACTGTAGTCGAGAAAGGAGGCAATATTGCGACAAGACAAGATTACTGTAGTCGAGAAAGGAGGCAATATTGCGACAAGACAAGATTACTGTAGTCGAGGAAGGAGACAAGATTACGACAAGACAAGATTACTGTAGTCGAGGAAGGAGACAAGATTACGACAAGACAAGATTACGACAAGACAAGATTACTGTAGTCGAGAAAGGAGGCAATATTGCGACAAGACAAGATTACTGTAGTCGGGAAAGGAGACGTTTTAGAAAAAGTGCTATTTAAGAGGAATTCATGATAACTTACGAATCCAGTTCCTCATTTTCAGATGCGTGTACACAAGCGCCTTATCAACTTGCACTCGCCTTCTGATGTGCTCCGTCAAATTACCTCAATCTCGATTGAACCAGGAGTTGATGTGGAGGTGAGTCAGATAGTGAAAAAGTGAATACTGAAATACTGACATTTTTTTCAGGTCACCATTGCCGACCAGCAGTAAAAGAAAATGCGGGTTGTGTCAACGAAGGTGACATTTATTGTTTCGGCTTTGTTGTTGATTTCCGGCCAATAAAGAGTTTGTTTTCTGTGTAGCATCTCATCAACATTGTAACAAAACCATAAACACTTGGGGAAACTTACTGTACTTTATTACAAGCTACTGTACTTCATTACAAGCTACTGTAATTGTAATAATTTGTTTTCTTTTAACATTTTACAAGCTTGAACACGGTCTTGAGTAGAAATCGAGTCATTTTAGGCTGAAAGACTAACGATTGAGCCACAATTGAGCCGTACAGCTGTTTGATCTTTGCTATTTCCACAAAAAAAAGATAATTCAAAGCTAACTCTCAGTCAAAGTTAGTGCAAAATAAAAAACGGATTACGGAAGAATCAGCTTGTCTGTGTTTTCTATTTGACACTAACTTTTTGTGATTTCTAATGAATTAATTGAATATTTTTAACCGTTTACTTATGGTAAATCACAATATTTAAGCGGGAAAATTCAAAAAACATTTCGTTTTCTTCTTTTTGGTTGCGTTTTTGTGCCTTTTCCCCAAATTTCCACGTTTTCTTACATAATTGGAACATAACTTTGCAAAAGTTCAAAGATTACATTGCTTATCTTTCTTTTACGGCAAAAGTTGCATAGAAGTGTCGAAAATTTGACCCTCCCGCAGTTCTTTTTGGCAACTCTGACCCGTTTATACGTGTTTGTTTCATTCTCTTTCCCGCCTTCGCCTTTCTTTCTCTCACCGGCCAGATAAAAGCACGCCTTGTGTAGTTGTTGAGTCAAGATATTTATCCACCTTGGTATTCCCGATCTATTCTATTGCTATGCTCTCGCATTTCGCTAATCTGTCACTTTCTAGTGTTAACATGGCCGACGAGTGCCCTGTGTGCACGCTCAAGATGATAATGCCGACAGCGGTGAATGGATGTGGACACAAATTTTGTTTTTTGTGCATCAAAGGTTTGTTTTCATTGGAAGTTTTGATTTGTGCATTAAAATTCTTGAATCTTTTGACTAAACCTTAAATTTGTTCATGGGCAGGTGCTATAGTAGTTGGGGGGTCAAATTTTTTTCGCCGGATAAGCTAATTTTTTGTACCCAGGGGTTTGCCTATGCTGAATTGATTGATGATATTCTCACACAACATTTCGCAACTTTTAACAGCATTCAAGTCTACTTACAAATGAAATTAGCGTCATTGGAAAAACGAGTTTCGACCTGTCAGGGAAGTTCTATAAAAAGCACAAGAAGCAAATGCATGCGCGAATTCATTTCCTGAACCCAATTAACGTCGTCTGCTTTCAGAATGGTCGTTAAAAGTTGCGAAATGTTGTGTGAAACCATCACCAATCAATTCAGCATAGTCAAAAACTCCTGGGTGCAAAAAATTAGCTCATCTGGCGAAAAAAAATTTTTGCGTAATCTTTTATAGGAAACTTTCTCGTGTATTGACGTTGCAGTAAAAAAATAGTGGTGCTCTCTACAAAAAGCTGCTTGCTTTTAGACTATAGTTCTTATAGATGTTGCTCAAAAAACTAATAATCTTTTTCAAAACTTTTTATTTCTTTTATTTACAGGTGTCGCACTGGAAAATGCGGGAGAATCGTTGTGCCCGATGTGTCGTGGACCAGTCGACATTAATCAATTCAGGAAAGTCATCGATCCATCTCTTCAACTTACAATGCGCGATCCAGAGGACTCAACCACCGATCATCCACCAGTAAAAAAAGGTTTTTTCGCTGAATTTTTTTCTGTACCAAATTTTTCTTTGTAGTCAAAAAAGAGCCCGTCGATCCAGGCGATTTGCAACAACAACAGCAAACGTCGAAGGCCTCTAATGGTTGGTATTGGAGTGATGTAAAATTGGCATGCAATAGTATTTTTAGTAAAGGTCAAGGCAGAACCGGTGGATCCAGATGATGTGCAACAACAGACACAGACGCAATCACAAACAGAAAAAGGTAAACATTTTTTAAAAATGCCTTGCTTATTTGTTTGTTTTAGGAAACGAGATGAACGCCAGCCAACAGCAAAAAGAGAGTGCGACATTTTGGGTCTACAAAGTAAGTTAATTTGTTTGGAGCTGGCATTAAATTTATTTTTTTAGGCTCGCGGGAATGGATGGTGGCGATATGATCCACGCACCGAAAAAGACATTAATGATGCGTGCCGTCTTGGAAAACAGAAATGTGAAGTGAGTGTTTTTTTTCTAACTTAACCACGAAATTGTAGTTTGAAAATTGCTGGGGATTTTTTTATTGAAATTAGTGGTTTTTTGATGAGTGATAACTGTTTTTTCAAATTATTGAGTTGGGTAGTATGAAATGGTAACATCTTTGAATGAGCTTTTGAACAAAAACTAAACCATAACTTTTTCTCAAAATTTTTCTAGTAACAATTGAAGTTATGCTGATTATGCGCTAAAATTGGATTCCGATCTGATGCACAGTTTTTGAGAAATGGTAATGGATGTGCCAAAGGTCGGTTTTTGACTACCACGTAACCTGGCGATGTCTGTAACAAAAATACTCGACTAGCATCCAGTCAAAACGGCTATTTATAAGATAATAAATCAAGTTCGATAATAAAAATTAAAGATTGAAAAAGACGTGTCTGAGTCCTGGGAATAGCATCCTCAAAAATATCTCGTGTATTCTCAAAAAGTGACAAGTTCTTATTCGAAAATTTTTATTTTGTTTATTTTGGTTAATTGTACAATCATGTTGGCTCAAACAGTTTTTGAATCTAGCAAGTTGTTGCAAATTTTTAGCGGTCTGGATTTTAAGGGGAAATTAGGCAAAAATCGTCTTTTTAACATCTCCTCTCTCATTCCTCAGAAACTGTGCATCAGATCGGGGTGAAATTTTGGCGTATAATCAGCATAACTTCAATTGTTATTAGAAAAACTTTTGGTTTAGTTTTTGTTCAAAAGTTCGTCCGAAGACGCCGTCATTTCATAGTCTCCAATCCAATACATTCCAATAAAACGAGTTATTACATCTAAGATTCCAGGTCAACACATGCGGAATGACGTTTGTTATCGATTTCCAAGAAATGGTGAGGGTTTTGTGTTGCTTTTCAATTACTCATAGGCGGAGAGTTCGGTAAAAGAGGGTGCTCTCTCGAAAGCGGCTAAAAGAGGTATGGGGTCTCGAGCCCCTTCTGGGGTATTGATTCCTTGTGTGGGCCCTCGGTGGGCGGAGCCCGCCGCGGCCGAAAAGCTTTTGCACATATCTAGTTGGAGTTAAAAATTCCTCATTTACAAGAAAATTTCATTTTTCCTTTTCCAGGTCCAGTATCGCAAAGATACACCGGATGTGCAACGAGAAATCTCAAGGGCTGACGGTGAGCAGGATCTGACCAGAATGCAAATTCGGGGAATAGCCGGTGTTTCACCTCATTAAAGCCTAATACGTCACAAATTTCTCTCATCAGTCCATTTGCCTTAAATTACGGGTTATTCCTGAGTCTTAGCTTTCTTATTGTTGTTATTGTTGTTAAAAATAGCACTTTGTTCTTTCAACGCTTTATACATGTTCTTTTTGGTTTATTGCTTGATTTTCTAAATAAAATTTCCATTTTTTGAAGAAAGTACGTTTATAGTATGCCGGCACTGGTTTGGATACATTTTGAAGCGCTGAGCGATATTCAGGCAAGATGCAAATATTGTGCGGCTGTTCTTACAGTGACAAATGGATCGACAAAGGTTTTGAAGGCTAAAAGTTGGCTTGAATTTGCTTTGTAGCAACGGGAAATTACCTGTTTATTTTGACTTTGATTAACGGAAGAATGTTTAGAAATGGTTTAAAAACAGAAATGTGAATATTGTTCACGATTCCACGGAATTGTATATGCAAAAAAAATATTGAAATTGTTAAAAGTTTTAAATATAAAACTTTACAAATCTTTCAAAAAGAATTTTCTAAAATTTCTAATTCTATTTGAGTGTTTCAATAAGCTTCCTGGTGCCTTAAACGGTAAAAGTAAAGTAAATAGAATCAGCTATGCTGTTCGGAATCAGCATAGCCGATTCTATAAGATCCCGTAGCTCTCGTATTAAGCTGGTGCCTTTCCCTATTTAGATTCAACGAAATAAATTACCTACACTCATGGAGATGAGTCTTGGAAATTCGAAAAAAAACAAAATTTTTAGTATTATTTTTTTTACTCGAGCATTTTCAGAAGAACTTCCAATAATATTTATTCTAAATTTTGCTTTGCATCACTTGAAAAAGATCGATTTCACGAATCTTTACTGGAAAGCTCAAAAAGTGAAAAAATGTGGTGGACAAAAGTCTTGGAAATTTAACGGAGTAACACAAATGTTTTGAATGGCTGTCTGCTCGTGTCTGTCTGTCTGTCTGTCTGTCTGCCGGTCAACCGATAGACATGCGGTGACAATGATGACTTAAACTAGACATTTTTGCCTTTTTGATTATTGAAAGTTTCTTCCGAAAATGCTCGAGTAAAAAAAAAACACGGCTTTTTTGCTTTTTTTTTCGAATTTCCAAGACCTGAACATTTGCGCACCTTTTTTTGCTGGAAAAGGCCTTAGGAAAGGTCGTAGAGCTTCAAAAACGTTTTCATAGAAGGGAATCGTATGCGTAGATTCAGAATTTCGACAAATCAGACCTCGCTGACACGTCAAAGTTGGGCTAAAAGGCAAAAACTACGCAACTTAACGCTTTTCCGCAGTTTTTGCCTTTTAGCCCAACTTTGACGTGTCAGCGAGATCTGATTTGTCGAAATTCGGAATCTACGCATACGATTCCCTTATATGGAAATATTTTCGAAGCTCTACGACCTTTCCTAAGGCCTTTTCCAGCAAAAAAAAAAGGTGCGCAAATGTCCAGGTGCGCAAAAAAAAGGTAGCATTTGTCCCACCCCCCTTTCGACTAATGAATTGATCTAGCAGAACTTTTGTTTACGGAAATTTTAAGGAAAATAGTCAAATGGTTTCGTCTAAATTTCAATTTATTAGAAAAATGTTCAATTTAGGGTTTATGGACACATGTAAGCCGAAAACACAAACAAGAGCATTTGACGTTCAATTACGAGACGAAAGAGGCCGTCGAACAGATTCAGGTTTGCGAAGAAAATACAGTTGAACTTCGATGCAACGAATTTGAAATTCTAAAATGTATCCAAAATTTTTGCGTATCTTTCTGCATAGCTTTCTGCATAGCCCAGCCGAATGCAATCAGTGGCCGTCCAGGGCAGCTATGCAGAAAATTTGAGGTACGTTTTAGGTTTGTTATATCGAAGTTCGATTGTACGAACGGTTAACGATCAAAGTTAATGCAAAAAGGAGATGGATGGATTAGCCACTAGAGCCACTAGAGCCACTAGAGCCACTAGAGCCACTAGAGCCACTAGAGCCACTAGAGCCACTAGAGCCACTAGAGCCACTAGAGCCACTAGAGCCACTAGAGCCACTAGAGCCACTAGAGCCACTAGAGCCACTAGAGCCACTAGAGCCACTAGAGCCACCAGAGCACTAGTGTTTCCTTAATCTTAATTCCTTAATCATTTCCTTAATCTTAGTTTTCATGTTTATTAATCAATTAAGGCAATCGCTAAAGAGCCGATCGTTCGCGGAATTGCCTCTCGTCAACAAGCCGTTAAAGTTGAGTCAAAAGGGAAATCTGAAGAAAAGCCTCCTCTTCCACCAATCGAGATCACGAAGAAAGCGGAGCCAAAACGAAAACGACGTTTGAAATATCGAGAGAATTGTGGGTTCTTCTTTTTTTTAAAGATTGAGAGAAAAGCCGATGACTTCATAAAGCTGAAAATTTTCTCATTGTTATCCTCGCCGTTAGACTTGACTAACGATAAGGATAGTCAAGTCTACTAGCGAGACCTTGATAAGTCCTAATCGAGGCCTTATCAAGGCTTATCGAGGCCTTATCGAGGCCTTATCGAGGCCTTATCGAGGCCTTATCGAGACCTCGTTCTCGATAAGCTTATCGATAATAGGTAATAGATAATAATCGATAAATTCAGTAGATTTTCTCGCAACTCAGCTTTTCTGGGGTAATTCGGTGCGCTGAGTACGAATTTTAACATCCAAAATCGCTATTTAAAGTTTCGGACAACTTATCGAGATCCATGTGCGATAGTCTCGATAACTATTGAGATCTCGATGACTATCGAGAACTCGATCTTGATAAGGTCTCGATAGTCAAGCCTACTTACCGTAAGTTGATTGAGCTCAGCAATCGTAAGTTCAGCAATCGGTGCAATGCTCAAATCGGTACTACAAAGTGGCGAGCCGAAAACTATTGACGAGGTGGGGAAATTTTGAACTTTGAAACACTTTGAAAACTATTTTTTTTAGAAATTAAATGAAACAATTGAAAACGTACTTGCGAATGGATTATTGAAAAAGGACGATAAAGAACAAGATGAAGAGCAAGCTAAAGAAAAGCTGTATGAATCAATTTATCGTGAAAACTTACCGTAAATACTGTAATAGTACCCCACCCCCATAATGACGGTGCGGAGTGTTGCGTAGTCTAGCTTTGAACGAGTTTTTCTCGACACTGGTTTATGCTACAATCCTCGCTTAGGTATCAAAAAATAGCTGAAATTCAGGGCTATTTTTTGATACCAAAGATGCATTTTTTGAAAGTACGGGCGCTTTGAAAAAAATGAAATACTAAAAAACTTTTGTGACTACGCGACTGTACGAGAGGGGTGGGGTACTATTACAGTATACTATTACAGTACAGACTGTACGAGAGGGGTTGGGTACTATTACAGTATTTACGGTATGTATTTTAGTGATCAGCGAAAAAATGCGGTTGTCGAAGAGCCACTTTTCAAGTTTTCTGTGAAAGAAGAGATGGTAAAGATGAAAAATTAATCGAATGTCAAAAGTTTTTAGATTTCTGACTCCGAGGAGCCGTCAACGTCGAAGAATTCCCACTCCGATTCAACAATTTCACTCGGTTCTACCCTTTCTGCGGCTTTTTACGTCGAATATCGAAAAACTTTGAAAGAAGTGAGTGTTTAAAATTCAATTTCATCGATCAAGCCCTTTAAGGCTTTATCCCATGCTTTAGTCATCAAAAAAAAAAGCCTGGCAGCCGCTAGTTTTCTCGGACGACAAGCTGGCAGATCTTTTTTAGATCCAGCTTTCACGCCAAAAGAAAAAAAAAAAGGATTTCTCTAAGTGAACTGGCTGAATGGGAAGAGTTTTTGGGTGGACTTGAAAACTCTCGTTTTCAACCCTCACACCGAAAACCATTAGGGCTGAGGAGGCTGACAGGAAAGAAGTGTCTCTTCCATAGAAATCTCCTTCCTTTTTTGCCCTCAAAAGGGGGATACCAGTTCTTTCCATTTCCCCTTTTCCACATCCAAATACTGACCTACTGCCCTTTTGCAAGTGCCGAGCCTTTTCCAGGGAAACCGATCTAAACCTACCTATTTCATTCACAAACTTTCAAAGTTTTTAGTTCGGCTACACGCTTTCGCCCGAAATGGAACAAAGTGGTTGGTTGGAATGGCTTGTTTATTGCTATTTTGCTAAAAGAACTATTTTCTAAAGCGCAAGCATGCCCAGTTATACCGTATTCCAGGAGGCGAACCGGTACCAGCATTTTCCGTTTCTACCCTTATTGAAGCGTTCCGCGCTACGGTCAGCCGCGACTACGAAAAGGCGATCAGTTTAGTGCGAAATACTGTGAAGAGTGGTCACGCTTTTACGGCAGGTATGTCACAAAAGCTACCATATAGTGTATTCCTTCAAAACAATGTTTCCTAAAATGCGGAAATTATCTAAAGTCCACAGGTTTAGCTCTAGTCTTGTCCTCTCTCTTTTTGTGAGTTTTGGACTAAACAAATCACTTCTAAAAGCTTTCGGCTGAAAATAAACCACCAACTCCTACTGCATTTAGAAATTATCAGATCAGTACTAGATCCAAAGTTATATTTACCCAAAAGCCCAAAGTTAACAAAACAAATGAACGTCGTTTTCAGATGATTTGGAGCTCCTCGATCATGTGTTTGCCTGTGTGTTGAACACTTCGCACTATGACGAAACGATGATCGAGGTAATTTGGGCAATCCACTATAGATTAAAAATCTTTAAATTACTTCAAACCATTCAATCATCTCCAGACTGTACCTAAAGCTGAAGGGATTTGTGAAATGTGTTTCTAGGTATGCTGGGAATGGATTGAAGCTTTTGAGAGACCGCCACGCACCGTCGACGCTCGGGTTGTAGCTGGCAGCACCCTAAGCATCTACTTTGCTTATCATACGGTTTGTTAACTTACGTCAACCTAAACAAACTGATAATTCGTAAAATTTATGATGACAATGTACAAAAATAACAAGCCGTGTAACAACGAAAGAAAACAGATCCAAGGTAGTTGAAAAGAGCATAGAAAAAATGAGATGCGCAAATGACCAGCCCAATTTCGACAAAGGATACGAATTAGAAAGCTTAAGAGAATTTTTATAGAGAAGAAAAATTACTTTTTTCCGGCGGTAGCAAAAGCTTTTTGAATTTGTTCTTGCATCTCGGAGAGTTTCTTCTGTTTATTCTTTGTCTTCACCGTCGAATCGGTCAATTGATCTTCAACTCGTTTTCTAAAAATTGGAATGAGAATAATTTGTTTGTGAAATTAAAAACCTATAAATGGTTTGGGTTGCTATAGTAGTTGGGGGAGGCAGTTTGTAAACATCGGTTTTTTTGAAACTTTCCACTAGTTTTAAAAACTTTTTACGGGGTAATTAATTGCACTGAATCCATTGAAAGCATTTATAAACCATTCTGAACAACTCTTATGCCAGTTTGAGCAGCAATTTCAAGCCTTCAAGAGCGGCTCTATTTCCACTGGGTTTAGAGGAATCGAATTAAGAGGCTTAAAACCTAGGTAACTGCTTAAAATAGCTAGAAAACAGTTACTAAAGCTTAAATACATACCAAATCAAGAATATACGCCGTTAAAAACCTAGAAGCGAAACTTAGTGCGCTCTAAGTCAATAGAGATGAATGTACACAACTTTTACGTATTCTTCAAAAGACAAACCAAGTTCTAAATTTTAAAACAAAACTCACGTCTCTCCTTGAATATATTCCAGTCGTTTCTCTACTTGACTCCTAGCTTCGGCAAGTTCAACCTTAAAAGTAATAACTCGATATACTCTAAAGTAATACCAACCTTCACTAAAACGGCACCAATCAGCTTGAAAACCTTCGATTCATCACCCAAAAGATCGAGTTCCTAAACGAAAACAAAGTTTTACTTTTAAAAGACAAAACAAACTTCTTTGACCATTTGATTCTCGGTAAGCTGACTTTCTAGCGTTTGTCGGTTGGCCACGTACTTTTCACGATCTAAAAAGAGATGATTAGTCAAATAAACACAAGTTACCAGTTTAAAGTTGTAAATTTAGTCTTAAACTTAACTAACGCGGCATGCTAGCAACTTTAAACGTACTTTATCTTTAAACTGAACTCCCACCTTTCTCCAATTGTTTAAAGGCGGCGATTTCTTTCTCGAATTCTCCTCGTAGAGTATCGAGCGACATCTTTACCTGTAATTAATAACTGTATCATATTCACAAATTAAAATTAAGTAAATAGAGTTAAAGTTTCAATAATTGCGTTAAAAACTAAGCATCACAAACTAGCAGATCAATTCAGCAAAAGAGATCGAATCACATTTTATACAACTAAACAAGCTAAATAAATTAGGCAACACATAAAAGTCATCGTTTAAATAAATTCCTTTTTACTGAATCCTTTGTTTGATCGGCTCGTCGCACATGTATCAATCCTCGTTTCTCCAACTCTTGCGTGGACGGGAAATCGACTTCCCAGTAATGTTCAGGTGTTGGCGGGAGTGGTTTCTCCACGTAGCGATGCCTCGATATTTGATTCAATCTTTTCTTTCGCTCTTCCGGACTCAACTCGAGTGCGTTGTAGTAGCCTGAACAGCACGCACAATCTGTTCCATGCATCAATGCTCGGTCCTCTCGCTTTCGTATCACTTGTCCGTCTCGCAATCCACGTTTCTTCAAAATCTCCGTCCTTTCATTCACTTTTTGCTCGGCTTTACTCTTTGCCCGCTGAGACTCGTCGGATTGCGCCCGTCGTCTTAAACTTTGACTAGAAATTGACGGCTTAGGTGAGCAAATTTGTTCAAATACAATTTCCGGTGACGGAGATCGTAATTTTCTCGGTAAAGAATCTCCTCGAATCTTCAAATCCTGCTGATACGTTGGTGGTGGGGTGGGCAGAAAGGAGAGATTCGTTTCACCGGCAACTTCCTTTCGTATCGGTGATATCATCACAAAAGGGTCACCACTTATTGTCAACTGCGGCCGATTTGGTGTTGATGAGAGTGGAGGAAGAGAGCGATCCATTGAAACGTCAGGGATTCCCAATAAAATCTCCTCGTTCTCGTCGGCGAATAGATCTTGACTCTTGTTCAACGTCGTGTTCTCATTGAGTGCCCTCTTTATTGACGATAATCGGGAAGTTGATGAAAGGTTTTCGAAAAGATCAGGGCTGCCGAATGAGTGATCGTTTAGATGGATATGTTGTCGTTGAGGCGAGAGAAATAAATCCTCCGATGATACCTAAAGTAGAATTATTATTGACAATTTATGAAGTATTTCAAGTTTCAAGAATTATACAGTCGTCAAAAAGTCTTGACCGGTCAGTGTTCACTTTGTCCATAGATCACATCCAAATATATTGACCACAAATAGTTTTATGTAGCATTTCCAAAGGTTGTTAAAATTAACGATTTAGCTTTTTTGATATCCTTTGAACCTTTGAACTTTGAGTTTTATGATCGAAAAACCTTATTTGAGCATGATTTTTAAAAATCTGTATTTCAAGAATGAATGGATCCCATTGAAAGCGGTTTCAATTATAATGGCATTGGATCGTCTATTACTTATTTATTAATTTTGTTCTGGCGAAAATGAAAGGCTACTGGCAGTTTTGAAGCCTTATAGAAAATCTGAGAAAAGGACCTTACCCTCTTATGCAAAAGTAGCTTGAAAAATTCTATTTAGAGCGATATCGAAAATCTAAGAATATCATCTTAAAGGTCTCACAAAATACTAAAAAAAACTAATTAGGATCGATTTATTTGAATGCGATCTAACGGGGGAAAAATGAGAAAACATTGACCAGTCAAGACTTTTTTAACGACTTCTAACGACCACGCGCTTCAAAGCTTAAATTCAAATGATTTTACCTAGGAACAAATTGCCATATCTTGTTTATCCGTGAATCAATGTTTTTTTAGCTTAATGACTGAAAAATGACATTAAAGCTTATAAATGTATCAACAATAAGCATAAGATATAGCAATTTGCGCAAAAACCTTTGCAAAAAGGATAATCATTAAAATCTAACAACTACTTATAAGTAATTTTAAGAGCAATTTATCAATGGTCTACTAATCTATGTTTACTTGCACTAATCTTTATAATTAAAGAAAGTCCAACCTTGATGAGACTTGTCGTCGAATGGAGTGGCTTTTTGATGGGAGATCTCGTCACATCAAGCACGGACTCCTCATCATTGTCCATTTAACTAAAAGAAAAACATTAATTTTGAAAAGTAACGTTAAACGAATGAGTAAAATGAGCATGATGATAGCAAAAGCGTCAAATTTTTCAAGTGTTTTAGTCAAAAAAAGAGCTTCAACAGAGTTTTACAACCTAGTTTCACGGAAGCACCGTGTGAAAAAGTGTAAAAGAAAGCTAAAAACTTGAAAGCTACAAATTTTGCTTTTGCTATAACTTCTATTAGTGAGCATGAGTTTAAATATCGAGAAATGAAATGAAAAACGGCAAATGGCGCAAATTGGTTGATTGTTATTTGTATTTGCGTGTACTCTACGGGTTATTCTCTTCATAAAAGTGTTAGTTTTAAAATAAAAGTTTGAAAAAAAATGAAAATGAATTCTCGATTTCTATGGAAATTTTTATAATTTCAGATCTGTCGAGTACAAGAGCGTATGCCGAAAAAGCCGAACTATGTAGAGATTCGACGCAAAACATGGAATAAAATCATTGAAAGTTTCGAGTGAGTGCATAAGTATTTGGAGTGATTCTAAAATGTGTACCAGCTTACCGTACTCTAATAGAACGCCATAATAAGGGGCGTACAGTCTCGTAGTCTAACTTTGAACGGCCGGTTCTCCGCGCTGTTTTATGCTACAGTGTGCTACCTGGTGTCAAATGATAGCCCTTGAAATCTAGTATTTTTTGATACCAAAAGTGTAGTTTGGAAAAATCTAGAAGCTGAGAAAAAAATGATTTTCTAAAAAGAAGTTAGACTACACGCGTTCTATTAGAGTTCTATTTAGTACAATGGCGTTCTATTAGAGTTCTATTTACGGTATTTCAGATACCTGACAGCGTGCGCGATCGCTTTATGGAAAGTGGTGGATTTGGACCGTTTGGAGATGCTGGTGAATTGGAGCTATTTGGCATTACAATTTTCGGATGTTTGCGATGACGAGACACTGATGAAATTAAAGGTGAATAGGCTTAAAGCAGGGAGATTTGTAAATTATCGTATCGTCGTACTGTCTTTCATTACCTACAGTGTTTTCTAAAAGGTCGATAATTTGAAAAGCTAATCTTTCTTCTAGATCTTGTCCGTTCGACTTTTTGATCTCATTCGATTCACAGTTTGATTCCTCATCGAATGAGATCAATTAAGTTAATCGGACAATATCTAAAAGAAGGATTAGCTTTCTAATTATCCAAGGATTGGCTGTAGCTTTCTAAATTATCCAAGTTTTAAAAAGCGCTTTACTGTATAGTAGACTTGTAACAAAAATATCTGTCGGTCCTTTTTTGCCGTTGTTTTTGTTTTTTTCTCAGCACCAACTATTCGACTTTGACTATTTTGACTATCATTCGATGCAGAAAAAAATTGCGCGTCAAATGATACAGAAATTAACTTAAAATGTAATATCTAGGCAAAGTTGTTGGCGAAAAACCTAAACCACAACTATTATGGGTGGGGTTTAACCGCTTGCGTCATAACTTTGCATGGATATTACATTTTAAGTTAATTTTGGTATTATTTGATGCGTAATTTTATTCAGCATCGAATGATAGTCAAAATAGCCAAAATCGAAGAGTTGGCGCTGAGAAAAACCTTACATCGCCAACGGCAAAAAGGACCGGCAGATTTTTTCGTTACAAGTCTACTATAAAGTAATCTTTTCTATTGCAGTAATTTTTAGCTAGCCAAAGACGAGGTGAGCGAGAATTTATGCGCCACAGTGCTGCTTGAGAATGGGCATTTGGTCGGTGAGCGGGCGGCCACTTTGGAGAGAAATCTCGTCGACACGGCACTCCGAAAGGGAACATCGATTGCTAGGGTAATTCGATCAGAAGAATATATATTATATATCATATCAGATTTAGATTTTTATCCGATTTAGCCTCAACAATAGTTTTAACAATTGCTGCGTTGATAAATCATATTTTTGAGAGTTTTTGATGCAATTTGGGGTACATAAAACTAAAACTTAGTACACTTTACTTAAAAAAATGGTCAAATTCCGCAAAAGTTACGGGGTTTTGGTGCGGCTTTTGCTTCTGACCTTGTTTTTGATATAAAAAAAACGATTTAGTGCAAACACACATCAAAAACTGTCAAAACATGATTAACAATGCAGCAATTGTTAAAACTATTGTCGGAGTCTGAATCGAATAAAAATCTAAATCGAATATAACATAATCCAGAATAAATCATGAATTCATGGGGGTGGGACAAATGCAACCTTTTTTTGCGCACCCGGACATTTGCGCACCTTTTTTCGAGTTTTAAAAAATCTCTAAAAGCTAATATTAACCAATTTCTATTCAAAAAGTTGTTTTTCTAGGTAATTTTAGGGCGTAGAATTCAAATTTTGACATATCAGAGCTTCTGGAACCAATTTGAAAGACAAAACGGCTAGATCAAATTACAGAAAATTGTCGATCTTTCTCTTTGTATAACTCCGTCCGTTCGCTTCCACAAGCTCTGATATGTCAAAATTTCGATTCTACGCCCTAAAATTACCTAGAAAAATAGAAAAACAACTTTTTGAATAGAAATTGGTTAATATTAGCTTTTTAGAGCTTTTTTAAAACGCGAAAAAAGGTGCGCTAATGGGCTAAGTGCGGAAAAAAGGTGCGCAAATGTCCGGGTGCGCAAAAAAAGGTCGTATTTGTCCCACTCCCTGAATTCTTACTAAATCCTGAGCGTTTGCAGATAATGGAGAAATCCAACCCGATCACCGAGTTGCCCACCTCGAAAAAACCGCGAATGGCCGACGGATAAATTGTGTTTTACCTCTTTATTACAAATAAACTTTTGCACAAGAAAAAAACGGTCATGAAACCAGACTTGAATCCAGAGAAACGAATCTTTTATCTCAATCCTCTCTCATCCCGACCTCGAGAATGCCAGTTTGACTTTGACTTGATGCCGGAACTTCTCCGCTGAACACGATCAGATCGTCCACTGATACCTAAAATTGTTCAAATTATACTGTTTTCCTCAAAATATTTGCTAAAAGATACAAAACAGAAAAGAAACGACCGAAAATCTCGAAAAATAATATTCCCAAATGCCTATAATCCCGAAAAACATAATCTCAAATAATCAAAATCGCGAAAAAGTGTTAAAAAATATAGAAGCGCCTTGATTATTCTTTGATTTTTACATGCTTTTATGCATTTTTCAAAATGTTTAGTGTTTTTCTAGTGTAAAAAAGCTCAAGGAATACAAAGAAAGTGATTTCAGAATTATTCAAATAGGTTTAGACGGTCAAAAACAGCAAAAACTCTTGAAATTTTCGGACTTGAAAACGGTTTTTGCTGTTTTTCACCTACTAAACCTATTCGAATACCTCAAAAAACGCCTTTTTCATGTTTCACGAGCTTTTTTACGCTAGAAAATATAAAAACATGCATAAAAACAATAAAAAGCATATAAAAATCAAAGCATAATCTAGACGCCCTTTAATTTGGTCATTCAGGATTTTTCTATGCCCGCTTTTGATCTAGCTACGGTCTTGTTGGTACTTTTCCAATATCGGGGGAGCGCAAGGAAAATCGGGGGAGCAAATTTTGCCCCTTCGAAAAATGCATTTCCGGGACCGTATTTTAACTCCAACGTTTTTTTTAAACTTTAACGACGATGCGCTTCTCCGATATTTGTGCGTCAAGAAATCGACGACAATCGATTATTTCGTCACCAAAGGAGTCATCCAGTCGTGGATTTGCAAATGTGGCGAATCGATGAAAGTCCGCTCAAAGGGAAAAGATCTATTTCGCTGGGTATGTGACACTTGCGCACGGCGAAAGGTCCCCAAGCATTCAAGAGAAATTCGAGTCGATAACTTTTTGCAACAAAGCAAGCTCCGGTTCGTCACAATTTTAAATAGGACATATGTAGCTGCCAAAATTTGCTCCCCCGATAGTCCTTCCGCCACGACCAAATCATTTAAACAGCTGAATATCTTTACATTTGAAGGGAAACTGCCACCAAATCATTTAATGAGCTGAATATCTTTACTTTTGAAGGGAAATTGCCACCAAATCATTCAATGGGCTGAATATCTTTAAAAGCAGTCATATTTGACTCGGCGCTCGTCATTTTTTGCAATAATTTTCGTTAAAAGTACGGTAAATTTGTAGAGATAAGGAACCAAATTTAGAGAAATAAGGAACCAAATTTAGAGAGATAAGGAACCAAATTTAGAGAGATAAAGTTTTCGTTTTAAAAAACGCATAACTCGTGAGAAACACTCTAGTTACGGAAGCTGGTCAAAACAGCACCGTGTATCTAGTTACGGTCTTGTCTGGCACCTTTTGAAGCAACCCTTTGCACCAACTTACCGAAATATGTCGAACACCCCTCTCGGGAGTTTTCCGATAGTTATAGATGACGATCTTCGAGACAAAAGTCGGCTCATCGAAAATGAAAAAGATGCGGGCACATCGATTGGGCAGAAGTGGGGTCAGCCACATGTTTTCTGGTCTGAAATTCGTTGTTTTTGTTAGCAATACTTGCGATTTCAGTATCAAATCTAAAGGTAACTTTCGACAATTATCCACCTTTTAGAAAAAGTACTTACAAGAAACGAATTATTGCATCTAGAGTACCCGAATTGCCACTCACCTATCCATATCATTTTGCCCATTGATCAGATTATCGCTCGTTCTCGGATCTCCCTCAACCATCGGGAGGATGTTGATCGACTCCGGGAAAGCGGCTAGATCTGAAAATTTAAGTAATTAGGATAGCTGGATAGCTGGATAGCTGGATAGATAGATAGATAGATAGATAGATAACTAGATAACTAGATAACTAGATAGCTAGATAGCTAGAGAGCTAGATAACTAGATAACTAGATAGCTAGATAGCTAGATAGCTAGATAGCTAGAGAGCTAGATAACTAGATAACTAGATAACTAGATAACTAGATATTTTATGTATGCAGAGATTTTCAAATCTAGCTTACTATGTGGTTTTAACTTGAACGATCGATCCTTTCGATCTCTCAACTCGATCCCAT